TTTTTTTTTTTTTTTTTTTGGTCTCACTGCAATGAACCAAAAGTGGTTGAGTTTGGTTTTTAATTGTAGCCATGTATTGAAGGCATCCTTTTGACCAACTCTTGTTGGTTCTGTCTTGAACCATTGTTAATCACTGTGCTGGCAGACCTTTCCTTCCCTGCTCCTCACCTGCCCAAGTCCCTTCTTTCCTTTTTTTTTCGGGGGGGGGGGGGTTGTTTTAGTGTGAGTGGATGTTTTGATAGTTGTGAGGAAAAATGCATTTCAGACACATTTCACACATGAGCTATTTTCTTACACAGTATGTCTTGTTAAAAAGAATGTAATTTCATGATACAGGTATTTAATATCTTTTTTAAGTAAATATTCTAGCCATCAAATAAATTGCAGTAGAGTATTAAGTGGGGACAGGATGAGTTTTACTCTTAAAATTAATCAGTATCAAACTAAGTCTACTGTGTGTGTGTGTGTGTTTTTTTTTTTTACTCTTACAGTTAGTCTAGTCTTATTTAAATTGGATTTTTGTATTCCAGTTTGTATGACAGAATAGATCAGTGCTAGTTGTAAATGCATGCTGTATGTCACTTTTCTCTCCCCATCATGCCGCTGAACTTGCTTGTCAGGTCGTGCTTAACTTGTGGTGAACTGGACTTGTTTTTGTTTAAAAAAAAATAGGCAAAAATGTAAGGGATAGTGCATAAGCCTTTTTTTTTTTTTTTAAACCTTTGGTAGTGGAATTTTTGCTTTCTTTTCGGGATTAGATGGCATGTTGTCCATATGAACGCCTGCTGCAGGGCTGATGCTGGCAATATGGCAGCTTTAAATTCTGTTACTACAGTTTCCATGTCAAAGCATAGTGTGTAGCATATCAGCAATAATTACATATTTAAAGAAAATGAACACGTTTTCACCTCACTGAGCCAACTCATTTAATTGTCTAATGACTAATATACATGGTTTAAATTGTAATATATCAATGTGTATACACTATGTATATACATTATGTATAAGCTTTTCTCTGGGCCAAACTGCTTCATTTAAAAAAAAATTTTTTTTTTTTTGGCGCCTTATGACGAATTTGTTTGAAGGGCATTTTCTTCATGAACAAAGGCTTTGATGCATATTCCTTTCTATGTGAAATGGGTAGTAGTGTTCCCTGAGGAAAGTTGCACAGTGAAAACCAGTCTAGTTGTGACCCACTCTGTGTTTTTCTTTTAAATATCTATTACACAAGTTGAATTTTGCTGAATATGTTTGTAATTTGTCGGTTTGTTTAATGAAGTTTGGTTGATGCCATCCTTTGCACCGCTGAAGTGAAATCTTGCTTATTACTTGGCTTTTTGCTGATCTCAGTATGGGCAATGTAACAACACATCCAAATGGCTGGACAGACTTCTTGTGTTTTGTAAATAGAAACAATGACTGTTCTGTGTGTGTGTTTTATGTGGTCGTGGAGTATTTCCTTGAAGTGAAGCTTCACTTAAGCAGGACAGAGTGATTCTTTGTTTAGCAAGTTTAGGAGTGATGGTAAAATGGTAAGAAATAATATAAATGTTGAAGAAAGCACCACAACAGAACTGTAGGAGTCCAAATTTAATAAACCGTTAAAAAAAATGTCTAGAATATACCACGTTTTATTTAAAATCATTGTATGAAGTTTTTTGTTTAAAATAAAAATTTGAATACAATCAAAACATTAATAATGTATTCTTGTTTGCTGTCTTGTATTTTTATAAACAACATATTCCACCATTCATATCAGAATTACTAAAAGAATTGTTAAATTTTTTTTTCCCAACATTTATTTATTTTTGGGACAGAGAGAGACAGAGCATGAACAGGGGAGGGGCAGAGAGGGAGACACAGAATCGGAAACAGGCTCCAGGCTCCGAGCCATCAGCCCAGAGCCTGACGCGGGACTCGAACTCACGGACCGCGAGATCGTGACCTGGCTGAAGTCGGACGCTCAACCGACTGCGCCACCCAGGCGCCCCTGTCAAGTGTTAATTTGAAATCTTCCTTTTTACCTGGACTACAAAGTCAGGCTTATGGCTTGACGTTCGGCTTATCTGCGTTGGTTGCACGTTATAACCACCTGGAAAACTTAAAAAAAAAAAAAAAAAAAATACAGATGCCTGGGCCCTGCCCACAGAGATTTTGGTTTAATTAGTGTGGGGTGAGGGCTGAGCTCTGCTTGTTCTGTTTGTGCAGGCAGGCCTGAGAAGTGCTGGCCCACAATCGCCTGTAGAAGAGACCCATTCGCCCCCGTGACCCCCTCGCCTAGGCTCAGAGCCTGACTCAGCCTCTTAGATGGTACAATGCCAGTGGTGGGGAAAGGCGGAACCAAGGAAAGGAACCGGCTCTGCTGCTGGAGACCTACATGGGAGCTAGACTAGGCCGTCCCCCACGCTCTCCAGTGCCAGGCCCCTCCCGGCCTAGAGGCGTTTCTGGGCCCATTTCACCACCAGCCTGTGAGGGAAGAGTACTTTTAACTGAGGAGCACATCCCAGGAGAGGAAGAGTCGAAAAGGAATTTGAAGGGATGAGAATGTATTGCCATTAAATAGTAGCGATGGTTGCACAACCTTGTGACTATACCCAAAAAACCCACTGAATTGTCTGCCTTTAAAGGCAAATTTTATGGTCTGGTTGATTCCATTACATTTTTTTTTTTAATAAATGAAGGAAAATTAAAACCACTGTAAATGTATGATTTCCTTCCAGTCTTCTGGTACCGTTTGCTGAAACGGCTTCAAGAGAGTGCGTAGGACTGCTCTTTATGTGGCATCCTTGCTCAGACTAAGAATTGCCATTTTCACAATCTTTCTAAATTTGACAGATGAAAATATTGTACCTCGTTGTTTAAACATAGGGATTTTGTTTTTGAGAGAGAGAGGGTGCAAGTGAGCGAGGGGCGGAGAGACAGAGGGAGAGGGAAGCAGGCTCCCCTGAAGCAGGGCTCGAGTTCACCCGACGTGGGACTCAAACTCACAAACCCTGAGATCATGACCTGAGCTGAAGTCAGATGCTTCATGACTGAGCCACCCAGGCGCCCTAAACATACGGAATTTTTTACGACTGGCAAGATTATCTCTGCACGTAAGATTTACAACCGCTGGAATGTCTTCCATTTCTTGGTCTTATTTACATGAGGGTCTTAATGCTTTTTTATTGTGTATTCCACATCTCTTTTCTTTTTAACCATAAAAAACAATTTACATTACCAGACAAAACACTGCTAAAATCTTTGCATTTAAGATAATGTTTTCCCAAGGCAAGATGGGGTAGGCATGGAAATAACTGATTAACATTCGTGTAACTAAATGGCCCACACAAGTGTCCTGATCAAAGATCAGTCTTTCCAAATGTGATTTCCCTGCCTTAGAACACACCATTTTCAGCTTTGAAGTAACAATATACTGACATAAAGCTTACGTGGCATGTGAGTACTATTTTTTTTCAGTACATTTCTGAACTTCATTGGCTAGTATTTAGTGGAATATTTCCTGGGCTTTAGAGTGAGGTTACGCTAACAGTGCAGTCATTTGGGCTTTCCCTCCCCACCCCACTCCCCCACCCCCATGCTTCAGAAATTATTTAGCCAGGAATTATCTGTTCCTTGAAAGTTCGAAAGAATCTATCCATAAGACTTTACGGGCCTAGCACTTCAAAAACCTTTTCAGTTTATTTCATTGGTAATAATCAGTTCACATTTCCAACCTCTATTCTAAAGTCACTTTTAGTCATTTACACCATAGAGATGCATATGGCATTCTCATAATTTTCTTCCAACTCTCACTAGCTACGTATGCTGCAGGGCAGGAGGTCTGCAGCCCCCCGTGCAGGTTGAACTTGGACCTCTGATCTGAGAGTAGAGTTGGCTGGCAAGGCCATCCCTCCCGAGGCTACCAATACCCTCTTTCTACAAAGAAACCCTGACCCTGTGACTCCTCTTGATATGCTTTAATGGCTTGATGTTACCTTCAGGGTAAAACCCAAGCTTTACTATGGCAGAAAGGCTGTTTTATGGGGTGCCTCGGTGGTTCAGTCGGTTAAGC